CATCCTCTGTGATTTAGTCCCAAGTAGAATTTTGAAAATAAGACAAATAGTATACAGATTATGTTTTCTGTTCTTGTAAGTGCTCAGTATTATTTTGGAGTGTGATGTTTGAGGTTTTCTTAGTTCAATCCATAACACTAAAACCCAGGAGGGTCAGAACTGATGTGATAAGCTGGTAGCTAAATTTCTCTAGCAGGAAGTTTGCATAATCATATATTTGAGGGACCAGTCTGAGCCTCTGATCATAGTACGCAAAGTGAATGAGTAAGGTAGTACAGGTATGTACATTAAAGAAGTGGTAACTCGTCATGTTGACATGGAGATAGCTGTATTTGAAAAGTGATGTGTGTTGCAAAAGCCACATTAGTACTCCTGCTCGAAAGTTGTTGTAATTTTCAGTATTTTTTTTTTATGATATGAAAAGATATGGACTGTCTGGGATGTGTCCCACTTTATGTGGTGTAAGTTCTGAAAGTGCAGGTTTGCCTTCTCCTTGAAAAGCAGTAATTTAATTTTTTTCCCCCTGTAACCTTCATGAGAAGTGGCTGAGAGAATGGAGGCAATGAGAAAATCTGTAAATAGGAAAAACGATGCTCAGAGAATCATAGAACCATTAAGGTTGGAAAAGACCTCTAAGATCATCAAGTCCAACCATCAACCCATCACCACCATGCCTGCTAAACCATGTCCTGAAGTGCCACATCTTCACGTTTTTTGACCTGCAGGGATGGGGACTCCACCACTTCCCTGGGCAGGCTGTTACTCTGTAACATGTAAAATACATATTATAAAACTAGGAGCTGATAATACAAATGTAACAGAACTGTGAAGAGTTTAGAAAGCTGTGTTTAATCCTTGCAACTACATGTTCAAACGTGCAAAACTTTTTGACCAAATACTGGATTTTTATTCATCTGCGTGCATGCAAAGTGCGAACACAGCCCCTTCCATGGTGAGCCCCTTCCATGGGTCCCCCTAGGACCAGCACTGTGCCCTGGCTGCCTTGGGTGCTCTGCAGTACCTGCCGCCTGCTGACGCTGCGAATCTGTGAAAACCGCTGCGTAGGGCAGCCTGTCTGTCTGTCTGCAGCCCCCTGAGCTGGCCAGGGCTCTAGACCAGGGGTGCACGGTTTGTAGACCGTCGGGAGAATACGACTCCTGTGGGTAACACACCGCTGGCACAGTCACCCGCGTAGCAGAGGTGGACTGCGCTGCGTGGCGCTTCTCTTTTGTGTGTCTGGCGTCTCGGGTGGTCAGGGTGTTCGTCGGGAGGATCGTCTCCAGGAATACTGTCTTGTCTTCATATCTCTGCGGGTCCATTTCGGTGGTTTCTATATCTGATGGCTACTGACTTGTAAGCCACAAGAGCCGTGCAGCTTAGTGGGGCGTTTGGTTGTTCGTAATTCAAAGTTTTAGTCGGACTTTTTAAAACAGGGGTCAATGAAGAGCTGCGTGGCGTAGCGTAAGGCAGTCTCTCCTGCAAACACCGCCTTGCAGGCATTCTCGGCCTGGCTGAGAATCGTGGAATTGTAGAATCATAGACTTCTTCCCACCCAGGGTAACATCACTGACTGCACTACAGCTAACTTCTGGTTTACACCAGGGTGAGTATCTCAAAACCTTTGGGGCATTCAAGACTCAGGTTCAGCAACTAAGATCTACTGTCTTTGATACAATGAACTGACGCCGCAGACTGTGAAGGGTGCAAGCTTCGGATCCTCTCCTGTGCCGCAGCATCGAAGCTTTGGGTCTGCCTCTGGCCTGTTTGCTCACACCGGAGGTTTTGTTCTGCTCGTGATTCGGTGTGCTCACCAGATGGGGCACTTGTGGACTAATAAAATGACAAGCGTGATATTACGTTGCTGCAGGCAATGAAAGCTCAACATAACATGATTTAAAGACTCCGATATTCAAATCAGAATACAAGACAAAGAAGAGCTGTTAATACTATTTTCTAATCCGCTTTCAGACTTTTGATAAAGACCCCGTCTGACTGTCTTTTCTCAGATGATTTAATTCAAAGTGATACCTGAAAAGGACCTGCAGGTTTGAACCCTAAGAGATTAAAATGAAAATATTTTAGGAATATTTCAGTTTTAATAGGGATGTTAAATCTTTGCAGTCTTTTTTGAACTGATTTGTTTCCAAGGGAACAACAATCTGCAGCGCTATAAACCTCTTTAATGTTAGCACATTATGGGTAAGGAGCCTCCGTTCCCTGGCAGTGTTTATCATTCTCTTTTATTGTCGGAAAAGGCTCTCATTCATTTTTCTTCTTTTCTTCATTCCTCACAGTTTCATGTAATTTAATTTGCTTGCAGCATTGCAGTAATTCTGACAAAAGTAGTACGTGTGACACATTTCTAAGCATTATTGACATAGCAATAGAAAATAAAAAATGTTTCATTTTGGAACAGAAGGTAAGTCACAGGCTGTGCCACGTCGAGATACCGTATCCTCAGATGCCATCCTGTTTGGGACGGCTCTGTCTACACACGGTCTCAGTTCTGTTTAGTTTTTCCATTAACAAACCTAAATCAATTCAAGGGGGGAAGAACAAGAGAAGAGAAAATTTGTAGGAGTTTCGACTCCTCTGCCAAAACAAATCCACATGGGGAAAAATTCCCACCAAGAATTTAAAGCCTAGTTCTCCAAAGCTTTTCTGGGTGGTGTAAAAGTATCTAGGTATTCTGCTCTGCTAGCCTGTAAAATACGGCTTCACGTCTGTGCAAGTCCTCGCATACATTCCTGTTTGCTGTACAGGAGATCGTTCTGTGGTAAACGAACAGCCCCCGAATTGCACCTGTGGAACGTTTTCATTCTGGGGAGCATGGAGAGGTAAGCTCGGCAGGTTGTATGCGTTAGATTTGTGTGTACTATCGTAGTTCCAGCTGATCACATAAATGGGGATGGCCTGCAGAGTTTCTTAGGAAACACGGTCGGGTTTTTGTGAAGTGCTGAACATCCGTTCTTGAAAAATCAGATCTTGGCTAAGACATGCTTTTTATCACAGACAAAATCACTGTTGTAAAATCTAGGTCATGGGCCTGAGCTAAAATGAAACCTAACTTTTATTGTGGGCTTTTTCATATTGTATTTCACAATGGTGTTTGCTGAGTTAGGTCTTCAGTAAAAGCAGCATGAAGAATGAGGGTTCATTTGTGTTTTAATTCTGGGATTTCGATAACTGTTAGTGCTCTTAATGAAGTAAGATGTTAGTTTAAATTGTCAGAGTTTTATCAGAATAAGTTGATTTTGGAAGCAGCTTCATTGACTTCAGTAGAAATGATCTTGATAGAGTTCATTTTGACTTACCAAATGTATTGTTTTCTGAGCAAGTTAATAAGGAATGTATGTTAAAGATGCTTCTTTTACAGTTAGAGGGGTGAAAAAAAATCCAGCCATGGATTTTAACTTTTCTGATCTTCAGAAGTGCTTGTCTTAAATTCTGTTAGCCTGCACATTAGATACTCATTTTTGGATAGGCTAGTTACAGCTGTATGTTGGAAGGGGGAGCATTTCTCCGTCAGCTCTTTGCATTAGGCTGAAACACTAAATTATTGGATAAGGAGAAATATGTACATGCCCAGCTCAAACCTATGTCACTGCACTTTTGAGGACCATTTAGGTTTACGTTCATCAGGGTTGTTAGGTGTATGCTTAAGATGCTAGATGAAAAAGGGCCAACCTACGTGGTAGTTTTGGCAATCCTGTAGCTTGTTTTAAATGAGTGAAATAACGAAACTAAGAGCTAATAATCAAATCAGTAATAATTCTGCTTCCTAATAATGAGAACAGACAGTAAAGAGGGATACCATCTTGTTACTGACTTCACAAGTTTTACCGTATTTTAGCTGTGCTGTAAAGAAAAAACATTTTGCCTGGTAAAAACCAAATAGCAACTAATAGAAGTTAAAAAATGAAAGAATTTATTTTAGATGAAAAAGAATGGCTGATTAAGCAAGGTATATTAACTGTGTTGAGGTTTGGGGTGCATTAAGCAATTATAAGATCATACAGTTTTTGTTGTAGTGGCGTTGACGTGTTCATAGCTCATAGATAGAGCCAAAACAAGTGAAAACCCCTCCTTACTCTACTGAGTCTGTTGTTGAAAAAGATGTATTTCTTTAAGTACTTCATTACTGAAGCATAAAAGATAACAAAGCAGAATAGCAAAGCAATTAGCTTATTGATAATATTTAAGCAGTATTGTTTTTGCTGATTATACTATTTTGAAGTTTCCCACCTGTTGAACTCAATAGAAATTACCTCCCCGAGTCACTGAAGTTTAGAAAAGCTGCTTTCCCATAAATGCATTACCAGGCAGTGGGGAGGATTGTGTATGTGCGGAAGGCTGGGGAGATTCATGCATGTAATTCTGTAAAACAAAATCAATAAAGCTGATGACAGATTAAGTTGCTAAATTTTGTAAAACTAGACTACTGTTCGGGTCATCAGCACAGCACTATTGGATTTTCTATGGTTTAATGCTGAAAAACAGGATTATTGATTTTAGGATTTTCAGCGTATCCCCTCTGGGAGTTCTTAAGCAGTCTTCATAATGCTTCACACTTAAGTTGACAACTACAGTGACATAACTGTGTCCTCGCCTTAGTAATCATTTTCTAATCATATTGGAAAAGGCTGGAAATGGTTTATAAAATGATTATTCCAGACAGACGGGAACAGGAGAGTCGTCGGGACGTGGCTTCTTTGTCTGGTGGTCATTGCTACCTACCTGCCATCTTCCCTTGGAATTAACTTACAGTCACAGATTAAGACCTTTGACTGTCATAAATCTGCTTCCCAATATGTTTGACTGGCAGGGGAGTTCACAAGCCGCCCCAATATAAATAGGATTTTAGCACATCAGGTGCTGCTCCAAAGTAAAACGGGCTGTTTTGCAGTCGACTTTGTTGGTTTATATTCATTGCTCCTCTCCCGTTCCATGTGTATGCATGCCTGCGTGTGTATGCATGTGTGTGTGTGCGTGAAGTAGAAGCTGAGATAGGGTAACAAAATGAACTACTGTATGCAAGAAATATATGAAGTGCACCCAGCAGCTGGTAGCAACTGCTACATGCAGTCCACTGATTATTGCACATATATCGAAGAAAATCAGGGTTACGGCAGTTGTGATGCTCAGGTCCTGCACAGTAACAACATATATATGGAACAGGCCTGGGCGGTGAATCAGCCTTATACCTGTAGTTACCCTGGAAACGTGTTTAAAAGCGAGTACTCTGACATGGACATGGCCCTGAATCAGTACAACCAACCTGAATATTTCACCGAAGAAAAACCTACTTTTTCTCAAGTGCAGTCGCCATCGTACTCTCAGAAGAAAGGTAGGGGCAATTTATTTAAATAACGAAACAAAAAAATTCTGTTTTTGTTTTTGTTTTGCTTTAAACTTACAGTTGCATCAGTTGGCTCAGATACATCTTTGGATCTGAAGGCTGCCTGTTCAAAACTGAAAGCAGCAGTAACATAGGTTGCTAGGTGATTGTAAGGTTTTCTGTGAGCGATGAGGATTTCCAAGCACTTTTTCTTAATCTGTAAAATACATTTTCAGATATATTGCTTGTTTTCTGCTTTCTGGGGCTATTAAGTTCATTTGCTATTCACCAGTGAGCTAGATAGGAAAGTTTCTCTTCTGAAATGTGGTCATTATATATTCTGCATCTTAAAGCTGCGTTTCACATTTGTGTGAGTCCTCGTTATCGGTAAGTGTGAACTCTGTTTGCTCAGCAACTCGGGCAAAATATTTTCAAAATAGAACTGTAAATATGTATGGGAAAATGATAAAGTTCAATAGAGTTACTGTCTTTTAAGTGAAAGGCATGTAGTTTCTGATTATGCAAAGCAAAAAAAGAGTGAAAATTCAAGAGTATGTCTGTGCAAGAAAGACTATTCTGCATCCGAAAAGTTTATCTAATCAATATGTTTTTGAGAGATAATCAGAGCGCAGTATCTTCTCCCTCAGGGTTAAATCGTTGCCTGGTTTTAGAATGTATTCTTTTGCTTTCAGGTAAGCAAAGCAGAATCAAAAAGAGCCCGAAATACCAACAAACACTTGGAAATGTTTTTGGTGTTGTTTGTTCTGAACTCAGACAAGAAAACCGTTGCATACAGAGTATACATTCTGTGTGTTTCTTTAAAATCACATTATTAAAGAATAAAAATACAGTCTGTTGTACCAGCACAGTGTCCTTTTTCTATTAAGACCAGATTTTCCATGAGTGTGCTGTAACTAGGTAGAGAAAACACCATTTACTACTTTTAAAGTGGCTTTGTAGTAAAAAGTAGACTGTTTAATCTTGCTAACTACGTTGAGAACTGAAATATTTTTCTTTGTGCAGGCAATATTCATTAGCACTTGGTGTAATAAATCTATATGTTCAGTAAAAAAGTGTCCTCATTTTGTACTTTGAACAGCATTGTAGTTCATCATACATGAAATATTTTTTAAAATCCTGTTCTAGGAAGCTGTAAGAACATGATCAAATTGCAGACTAAATGTAGTTGTGGGTAATGCATGTTTTTGTATTGTGCAACATTTTAAATGCTTTTTAAGGCTATTTATCTTCTATTGGGTTTTAACTAATGAATTTATAACTCTTATGTAGACTTTCCTGTGTCTTATTTTTGGTTAAAGAAAAAGAATACTCAGGATTAACTTAGAGAAAATAAAGACTTACTCTTGTAAAGACAGTGAAGGAATACATTTTTCATAATGTTAAAGGTTATAAATAATAATTGATACACCTAGATTAGACCTTTAGGTAAGTTATTTCAGTACTCAGACACCTGACATCTGCTCTGTTTAAAGTTTGTGTACTTGTTTGGTTGAAAGAATACAGAGTTGTTTTTGAAACCTGCTTGTCTGCCTTTGTTTTCTGCTACCTCAGTTTCGCTAAGAAGTGGCAGTGAACTTTGGTGGAAGCCAGCTCTCAAGCAGGCTTTTAATTGATCATTCATGGAGACTGAGCAACGTGTTTTGGGATTCTTTAGAGCCTTATTACTGTGATAATCAATAAAAAGTTGCCTCCCTTCTGTCAAACCTTTGCAAATGCTAAGTTTATTAAGCAGAAGAGATCTAAACTGCGTGGGACATGTGCGTCTTCTCTTTTTTTTTTTTTAATTTCCATCTTTTAACCAAGCTATCATAAAACTAACGAATCTTTTAATCCTGTCCTAAGAACAGAAGGTTCTACACAGGGCATTTGTGTCTGTATTGATCCAGAATTGATTGGGTAGGGGACGAGGGAGTTTGTTAGAGAAGCCTTGGTAATAGCCCATTAAAGCAAAATTAAGTCCCTAAGCAGGTGTTCATGAGGAGTCATGATTGTTGCAGTTGGTATTTCTGTTAGTCCCCTGAAATTTGTAGTAATCTCAATAATACACTGTTCAAATCAGGTTGTACTTTACGGTAGCACATGGAGTCTTGCCCTATCAAAACTTTTGCTAGTTATTAAATGGTTAAAGTCTTCTTTTCCCTCTGGGAAGAAAAAAACATGAACATTTTATATGCTGAAAAAATTACTATTTAGGAAGTGGAGTTTAATTACTTCTCTATCTTTATGTCATTTTAAAAGAATTCAGAAAATAAGTTTAAAAACAGGAACCAAAGACCACAACAGCGTGTCACTAAAGGAAAAAAAAACAAGTATTTAGAAAGTATAGCCAGTTATTCTAAAATATAAGAAAGCACTTGAGCTGCACCAGTTATTACAGTCCATTAAAAACTATTATTTCCCAATTATCTGTCACAAATTCTCATGAAAGACTTGAATTTTAAAGGAAAAAATTGTGCTCCAGGAAATCAAGAGGTGGAGGTGCGGTTTTAGCTTTGCATCTCTTTGTTGCTCCGTTCTCCTTTGTGCTGTAGTGTATGCTGTTAAAAGGTCACCACACCATATTTGTGCAGGAGCTTACTGCTGTATTAAGGAAGCCCTTTTGGGTCCGATCCCGCCACAGGAGACTGGCAACCAGATACACTCTGTTTTCTGCGGGAGGCTGTGAAACCTGACGAGTGGAACAGGGCTCATCATCGTGAGAATGAGGTGCTGTTCCCAGTTGTGTCCCGGAGAGCTCAGACTGGGGTGTTTTTCCCCTGTGACGGTACCGCCGGCCGTGGTGAGCTCGCAGGGCTGCGCGTCGGACCGGGGATGCTCCGGGGGACCCCCTGCCACCCTGCCCTTGCGCAGGGGCTGGGCAGCGAGGCTGAAGTGTCCCTGGGTCTCCTCACGCTGCCGGTACGGTGATGAGGAGTGGTACCCAGTGACAGGGTAGAAGTAGTGCAGTCGGGACGGTGCAAAAGAAATACGCACAGAGGTCCAGAAACCTCCGTGTCCCCACGTTTGGTGTGTGCGCGGCATTTCGACCTTTCGGACAAGGCGGGAAGCAGGTCTGCAAAGTTAAAACTGAGATGGGAGTTGGCTTTCACTTCTCTTTGCACGGTCATCTCCTGGACAAAGCCAATGAAAGATGCCCGCAGGTGTCTATGAAGTTAGACTTGAAGTTCAGGCTCTGTGGGGGCGGACGAGAAGTAACCGGAGGCTGCCCCCCAAACCAAGGCTTTGCGGGCAGGAATTCCTGAGTTGGGCTGTGGAAGCTCCTCAGCCCTGCATCTCACCTTGCTCCCAAGGTGAGGTTAATGCTGTCTTTTAAAGGGCTCTTGGTATGATGGGTGAATGGGGTGAATGTCATTATTATTTCCCTTTACATTTTCTCAGGCAGTTTGCATGCAGCTCAGAGCAGGTACGGTGTAACTGCGAAGTACGCGAATGAATTACTCCAACAATGTCTTCTCATCAGCACAGGGTCTGTCTGTGCATATAGTCAATTTACAAGAACACGGAGCATTTGTCATCTTTGGCCTTTGCAGCAGGGCAGCTCCCAGTATGTTAACAATTGTTTGGGGCTTAAAAATGATTAATTTTGCTCCTGACCACCCATCTAAGGAGATAGCACTGATCAGAAAAATTGTGTGTTATTCAGCGAATCAGTATGCATTTCGAATTACAGGTTTCTTTTTTTGATAAAAATGTCAGTGGAAAAAGTATTTTCAGCTCCTTTACTGTAACCTTTCCACAACCAAATAAGGATGGGAAAGTGAACGAAGGCATGCTTTGCCTTTGCATCAGCAGTAAAACTGATGTTCAGTGAAGCTTAGATTTCTAAATAAGTTACTTGCCATACTAAGCTATGGTCTCTAAAAACATTTAAATCATTTGGGGAAAAAACAAAGCATCGCCTGACTCTAACAGGGGTGCATTTTGTACCTGTATTTGGTAATGGATGCAAGTATAGTAGCGATCACAGCAGTTTAAGTGATAACACAGTTTGGGCTAAAATGTTTTCAGCACATCTGTGCGAAATGCACTACGGTTGGAGAAGGTTTCTGACCCAGCCCAAAGAACAGGGAACATAGATACAAAGGAACAGGATACATAGAAAAGTCACTGAGGGAAAAGAGACCATAAAAAATGTTCCAAATTATATCTTTGCAGAATCTCTTGCCAAATTGTAGTAATTCCATAAATCAAAGAATGTCAACAAAGACCAAAATTGCAGACAAGCCAGCCAGCTAGTTAACAAGTAATGTGTGAATCTGTTTAACAACGTTCTTGGTGCTTCCAAGCTCGATGGCGAAATAAGCAATTTTTCTCAGTGAGAGTAATTTAAAGAAAGTGGGAAATAAGGATCAGTGTATCAGCCCAGCGTTTCAGATCAATATTGGTAATACCACAGATGAGAATGGAGTGTGCTTTTCTCACTCAGCTCTGTGCTTTCTCCGATAAACACTCTTATTTTAAGCTTTTTTCTACACAAGTGTATCAAGGATGATATCTGGATGGCTCTTGTAATTTTTTATAATTTTCAGATCGGTAGGACAACAGTATGAATTTTCTTTTCAGTTCTAATGCAGTTGGGGATTCTCAAGGTAGTAATTAATTTCATCTTTCTCATTTTCATAGTGCAGTGTCTAGTAAGTGAATACGAGCTTACTGGTAAGTCCTCAAGTCCTCATTTTAGTGAGTGGTCTCTAGTCACGAAAACCATACCAGATGGGGGAAAGAAAGGTTTCGGGGAATATGTTTAATACATGGATCTGCCAGTGTACAGTGAAAATCAAAGTACTGAATAATGGTCTTAAAACACAAATGTCTTTGTGCAGTAGCAAAAAGTGCCTTTTTCTGCTTCCAAGGTATAAGTCTATGGTGGATCAGGAACCAGCTAATAAAGAACATCTGGTATACAGACATAATTTGTTTGCATTGGTCTCACCCATATCCCTCTTTGGTAGTCAAATACGGTTTGGGTCCTAGCATTTTTTTAAGGT